TTAAATTTTTGAGCACGGGGTTATTATTACAAAATTTCCTGTCTATTCTCCATTCATCATGAAAACTTAGTTCTTGCCTAGATCGATGGAGAAATGTGTGGAGAATATTTACGACAAGAAAATATGTAAAAATTTTTGTTCTTTCCTTCCGGTTATTGGCTAATTAGTACTAATTAACGTTAATTTAGCCTACTCTACTAGCATAAAGTCTTATTTGTAGAATAGCAGCACAACAAAAGAATTCAAGCGATACCTCATCTGACAGAGAATTTCACGGGCTACAATATAGTCTACCTTAAAAATTTTAGAATTCATTTCTGGTTGCTCGGTAAGACTGATAAGTCCAAAATTTAACAATATTGTTTTAAATAATTAAATTTTTCTCAGTCAGATAATTTCAGTAACTCGAGAAAACTTCCGAACATACACTTCGAAGTGTCCTCTACAAATCGGGAAGGCTTGAAGAAAAAATTCAAAACTTGAAAATAGCGCTGGTTTTTGGCTCACCGAAGATTTTCATCATATTTTTCAATTTAAAAAGCAAAAAAAGAAAATTTTAAAAAAAGCTCTCGTGAGGGACTCCGGAATTCGATTCTGAACAACTTTTGTATCAAGAGTTTTGTTTCAAAATGCTTGCTTCGAGCGAAACTAGCCGTAAGGCTTTTTTCAAAATACTTTTAGCTCTAAAATTTCCTCGGGAAGGTGAAAGTTAAATTTCTCCGTCAAACTTCATTTGGGAACGATGTAAAGTTTTTCTCCTTATACAAATTAATGTTCTCTATCGAACTACGCTAGAATCAACTCTTCATATCAAAAAATGAAGTTTTTATTGAAATTTTAAAAATAGGGCAAAAAACCCGAAAAAAACTTAAAATTTTTTTTTATCAAAAACTATAAATCCGGGAACTGAAAGCGTCGTTGAGACGTATACTTCGAAGTGTCCTCCACAAACTGCTGGAAAAAAACGGGTGGGGGGACCCCCCCTTAATATGACCAGGGTCTGTCGACATCGCAACTTGTGCGCAGCGTTCTTCTTTCGTCCGTTTTTTTGGCAAAATGTGCATCTTGTGATCTGGAGAACTGCGAAAGCTAGAAAACTTCTGGAAAAGGTAGGATAATCTTCTGACATTGAAGATTGATAAATGCACGCTCTTTTTTTGGAATTTTATTTTAGACTGTTCTTTACCGACTTATAGGGTTTCCAAAATTGAAAAACTTGGTTGTCGAGACGTTTTTCAGTATTTTTCCTATAACTCGACTATGAAATGTCTCAAAAAAATTTCCCAAAAGTTATCTCTGCGGAATGACCTTGAGTACCGCTGATAAAATTTTGAACTCGATGAGATGAAATTTAAGGGGGGGGTCGTAATGTGGCACAATGAAAAACCGAATTTTCTGAAAAATTGGTGAACGGCAATATTTGAAAACTTGAAACAGAAACGAAAAAGTGCTCCATTAAGTTTCCAATCAGTTCTGAAAATACGAAACTCTAGCGACTTTTAGTTTTTATTTCACAGCATTTCTACGGAAAGCTCAAAAAAGAGTGGAGCGGTACCCTTAAGACAATAGTTGAAAAACAACCTGAAATTCGACAATTTGTCAAAAATATTGAGCAGAAACGACAATGCCGAAATTCCGATGGTGAAATTTCTGCTGTCGATATTCCGTTTTACCATTCTGTGCTGTTTACAAAATTAGAATATTTTAATATTCTAAATAAAATTCTACTGTAATTTCCAAATTAATTTCAAAACAAAATCGACAATTTTCTAGAGAATTAAATTCTCTATCTTTTGAGTTAAATATTAAATTTTTAAACGCAAGTCAATATGGATAAAAAACGTAATCGAAAGGACTTCTGGCCCACTCTATCGAACAGTAAAATTAAGTTTTCTAAATTTCTTTTTAGTTATTTGTTTCTATTATTATTTTGGGTAGTAGTCAGTTAATAAAATTTATTCTTAGACAAAAAGAAATATTCGAATTATGATTGTGCAATCAAAAAAATATTGTAACATATGTGCACTAATTTATTCATATAAAAACAGTGACACAAATTTATTTCGATTGAAACTTGTATTATTGACTACTATACGTTAGAGGTGTTAGAAAGTGATGGGCAATAAAATTACGAAAAATATTCCACCGTTACATACCGCTGTTCTTAAACGTATTCATGAGAATACGGATTTTTTACCAAATGAAATACAATATTTTCATTATGATTTTCATAAATATGCACCCAATGGACAATTAACACTTGTAGATTTTGAGAAATTTTATAAATTATTATTTCGTCGTGGAAATAGTGAACGTTTTGCCAAATATGTCTTTGATGCATATGATATAAATATGGATAATATTGTTGATTTTGAAGAATTTATTATGGGATTATACAATACGACAAAAGCGGATTCACCAGACAAAATACGTTGGGCATTTGATTTATGTGATAGAGGTAATTACAATAATAATAAAGTTTTTTTATGTTTAATAAAGCACTTATAACAGATTAAATTGACTTTTGATATTGGTTTAGATTGTGATAACAATTTGGACATAAATGAAATTGAAAATGTTGTTGAAGCTCTGTATGAAATGTCGGAATATGATATGCCTCGACAAGAAACATACATGGAAGCTTTAGACAGAATAAAACATTTGTTTCTTGGAAATGAAGATAATGATGATTTGGTTGATAGTGTGTCAAAAACAGATTTTGTAAACATTGTTGAAAAAGATGTCACAATTATGGGTTTGATTGAGTGTAAGACAAATATAAATAAGAAACGAAAATCTCAAATATTATCAAAAAAACAATTAAATTTTAAACAGTCGAAACAAAAATCATTTTCTGATATGGCTTTACCCATGAAAAAGTAATAATTATTTAATACACAACGACTAACGCCAAATGTCTGAACAACGTACTTTTAGTTCAGAAAATATGCTTTGTGATTAAGTCATAAATTGAAGTCATTAGATATTTTATGTAAGCAGACGATTTATAATACTTTTAAAATTAAATAAACATTGTATAAATGTTTTTAGGAATGTTGTGAGGATCCATTCGAAGGAAAATTTTCTCTCAGAACTATTATTCTCTTACAAAAAGGAAAGCTCATCACTGTCTTTCGAATATCGTTAGTCTAAAAAGCCATTCTTTCAATCCTATAAGGACCTTTTTAGGCAGAAAATATTTTATTCCATGCAAAGAGAGATTGTTTGTGTGTATTTATTGTACAAAAATAAAGAAGCAGAAAACATACACACAAAATAACTGATACCGAGACGGCTCTTACCATCGTTTCGCGACGATGAATAGCGCCTCATCTAGAATGAACAAAAGAACTGTTATTCCCATATGTTTCGCCGAACAGCATCAAATACTTATACAACTGCTCGGTCATCAAATAAATAATTGTTTCCGATTTTTGATGAGAATCACGCTGGTTATAAAATATGGAGTCCTGAATAATTTTTCACACTGCTCTTGTTTTGCGTCCCTAATTCTTTCTGGACGCCAAAATATCACATTTCAAATGAAAAAAACGAAAAAAGTCCAAGTCAAGAAAGTCGGTATTTTCGGTATCGGTACTTCGGTATGGATACCGATATCGGTACATACCTAGATGTATGTAAATCTTCCTCCTTTAGTTGTATCAGATGAAGGGTAGGCCTTTATCGGTCAAACAGAAATTGATATTTATTTCATATTCTGTTTTTCTGTAGAAAAGGAAATCGAAAAAGCAGACATTCTCTGCGACCATTTACTCTTCAAAAATTTGGCTTTTTGCTCTAGATCTAACAATTTCTCCATGTATTAAATATTCTGTGCAAAGATCTCAAAATAAAAATGTATTTTGCGACGAAGTTTTAATCGCGTGTGTTGCAACACCTTTCTGGTGTTCAATAATTAAAAAATTGATATTTTGTATACAAAACCAGATTTTGTGAGCCCTGAAATACATTAGATCAAATGCTTTTGACATTTTAAAATCTAATTATTTATAATAAATAAATTTGGTTTTACAACTGTTCTTTCGTTACAGAAAAGGTCAAGCCTCGGGAATTAGTTCTTAAATAAGATAAAATTTCTTGCAAGGTTCTGGCTATCAGACAGCTTTTCACTAAGAATGTTATCTATTAAATATAGTCAGATTGACTAAGAGGAAAGTTTAAGCATGAAACGTTCACAATTCAAAATTCACTATTACTATTTTTCTAAAAAAGATCTTCAGAAATATCGCATATAATTTTTTTATATAAACTTGTGCTGTCTTTCCAGGAATATTAGCTATAGTCTCATTTCTATAATTGAAATAAAAATATTCAGCTCATTTTATCTAGCAGAGAACAGAGGCCCAAAGCTGAGTATAGTTGAAAAATGACTTCGCTTTTACTCCAAAAATTTGGAAGAAAAGGAGCAAAGAGGCTAAAAACTTTCCGAAAGCAGGTTTAATCCGCCGACACTGCACAAATTTGACCGATCATACGAACATTTGAATTTTTTTCTTGATAAAAATGATTATTTTTACTCCAGTTCGCTACCATACCTCGAAACATCTGTTAAAACGAAAACGGAATGAAAAAAACTTTTATGGTCAAAAATTGGCTGATTTGAATAAACAGCTCTTTTAAAATTGTGCATCATTTGATGCGCAGATTCCGAATATGTTATTGATTTTGATTTAAACACTACCCAGCACTAATTCATAGTTGTAGTTTGCGTGGAGGGATATTTGTATGAAGTTTGAGCACCTTGAGACTTTACTAAATTTTGCACACTCATTAGACCGAAGACGCGTCTGTCGAACCTAATTTAAAGTCGAAAAAAGCGCATTTTCAATTTTGAGTAAATGATGGTAGATCAGTAAATGATCATTACTTACGAGGGAGATCGACCAACTTGAAAATCGCTTTTGAGACGAAACCTAGTGGGTGATAGGTAATCGACCATGCACATCCCGAATATCGACATGAGACGGAGAGTTAGGCTTCCAAAGACCCGTTTTCTGGTAAACCAGTTTTTCAGAAACTCTATATGGATTTGACCTATTTTGACAGAAAAAAAGCACTAATTTGAGGATGATAGTTCGAGCAGAGCTGCTACAGATTTTCAGATGTAAACATGTATGGAAAAAGCTGTTGACTATCGCTGATTATTCGCGAGTAATTAATTTTCTATCAAATATGTAGTACTAACAACCCTAGTTGACTGCCACCGGCAAAAAACTTCAAAAATGAGAACTGAGCAGAACTTGCACGAACGTATGACTAAATTTCCATCAATATGGACTATCTGCATATCACCGACAGAAAAATAAAGTTCATACTGAGTCGAGGAAAAGTGCTTTTTCATACACACTGTAAAGTCGGGAATTATTTATAGAAAATGCTCGGCGATTTTCAAAAAGTCCCTACATGTAAAACCTCACGGATTTTCCAGATTATAGAAAATCGAATTTCCAATAATGTAGAAAACTGACATCGATTTTCTACATTGTCGGGAATTAGTTATAGAAAATCCTCGGTGAATTTTTGTCTAGAAAATCCTCAGGGATTTTATATATGGACTTTTCGAAAATCAAAAAGTCGGATTATTTTCTACTTTCTAGTGAGGAAGAACAATTTGAGTGAGAATGCTGATAATCAGAGACTTGCGATTGAAAATGGCTGAAGATAAACTTTTTCACCATTATTAAAAGCTATTGAACTTCGAAATTGAGTGGGTGTATCATTTCAGCTTATTGGATGACAATATGGATCTTTTACTAATGCAAACCAAATTCGCCATCGCTCGCGTGTTGAACGACTGTTATTTTATTTAAAAAATAAAGAAAATAAATGTGAATTGTTAGGATCATGTCTTTGAGTTAATATAGCCAAAACCAAGTACATTTTTGGAAGATGCTAAATTCAGACATAAAAGTGAAGAATATTATCAAGAGCAAATCGCTTTGCGATCTTCAGAAAGTTACGGTGGAACTCGACTTTATTTTAACCAGGCAACCCAAAAACCTTTCCAGTACCTCTTTGTGATCTCCTAGTGTCATACAGCAACAATACTTCTCGAAGAATATGCTGGTTTGCAAAATCTGACAGAACTTTCCAAAGCTACTAACATTTCCGATGTTGAATACTAAAACGTGCAGAGATCTGTTACACGACAAGGTGTTGCAATATATAGGCTTTAATAGATGTGAAAGAAACTAGAAAATAATCACTGAGTCGTCTTCTTAGAAGATCGAATTCGATTTTCCAACTTTTTAGAAATTCCTTATCGATTTTCTGGCAAATGAGAAAAGTCAATTTATAGAAAATCGAGCGGATTTTCTATAAAGTAGAAAATCAATATTTTCTAAACAGTCAGAAAATCGCTGAGGATTTTATAAAAGTTAGAAAATCCTTGGCGATTTTCCAGATCGATGTTCTATAAAGTAGAAAATAATTTCAAATTAAAGTGTATTTAACACACTCGACAACCCAGAAGATTGTCTATTTTGCTCAGGCGTATCGTCGAACGTTCATGAAAAATTTTGATTGACTAATATTATTTTCCGGTGGAAACCTTTTTCCACCATTTTTTTCGAAAAAGTTTTCTAAACTTTTGACAATACCTCTCATCCAAAATAGAAAATCGTCTGGGTTATCCGAATATGAAAAGACACTTTTCCTCGACTCCACATGAACGTTATTTTTTCTTCATGTTGATATGCAAACTTTTCAGCGATATACCACAAGGTTCAGTAACGTGACATAGGTGTCGTTCAAGTACACTTTCAGTATTTCTTCGTGTAAGTGTTTAAACATGACGATTCTAGTGCATTTCGTCTATTTGTCTGTTCATTTTCTCCATGTTTTACGTCTAACTTATTCACCTTCTCAATTGTGTCATCGGATTAGCTTCGACTATACGCTAGGACTAAAAATTAGCTCTCAACTCAGCCTGAAGTACCCTTCAATTTTCATTGGCGTTATATTTATCTATTTCTGGATCTTTTGTCTAATGAGAGAAACGACAAAAACGATAGTTGACTAAATTTTTACATTAAGCTCTAGCGACATTGAATCCTAGTGCATTCTAACCTATTGAATCTTGCACGGATTTAGTGCTGACACAGTGCAATTATGTAAAAAGAAATTAATTAAACAAGTCTCTCTGAATTATAAACTAGTTTTGTTCTCTTTCGTACGCGCATATTTTTTGAAATTTTTCAATTAACGCAGTTGAACAGCGCCTCTACACTTAGTTAAAAGCTATACTGTTTTTTACAGGGATTTTTGAAGATTATACAAATGTCTCTTTCTCTATATGTAGTTATGAATCAATCGGTCTTTCTCTTAGCAGTTATAGATCGATGAAAAATCGATTTTACAAACCCGAAGATACAGAATCCTTTTTGAAACTGTTGTGAGTGCAATTTTGACATGACGAAACTAATGTAATACTCAACAGCTTCTCTAGTTTCGTTTGTTTGATATTACAAAAATATCATGTTGAAGTTTCTATAGATGTTTTTCTGTCTTTAAACGATAAAATCTAATAAGAATTTGCAACACAGTTTTACTATATTATTTTGGACTGCAGACGTTTTCAAAATTATCAAAAAACTCTCATTCCCATTCAAAGAGCATTCATAGTAAACATTGTAAAATATGTACAGTTCAATAATTAATTTAATATTTCTTTTCGAATTTGATAGAATGTATGTTTTTATTCTTGACGTTTTTCAAATATGTTTTTAACAAACAATATAGTGAAAGATAAAAGCTGTTTACAAATACACTTTAAGTCTCAGAGAGTTTATAGAGTTTGCGTTTCCACTATGACCATGTATTCATGGAAAGAAATTATCAGAAGGTTGTTCTGACGTCTGATAATAAGCATCTATCTTCTTTCCTTTGTTTCTTTCTTTCTTCCATCTATCTTTCTTCTTGAATAAAAATTGGAAGTAATCTAGTTTACAACTACCATGTTGAAAGAGGCTTGAGAAGAGGATTTTTGTACTATTTCGTTTAATAATATTGAATTCTATATCTAGTGGAACATTTCATTTTAGACTTATAACGTACGGTTCTTTCAAAAGAGCATAACGAACATTTTATTTGTTCATTTATTTAAAGTTGAATGAGGCGAAGTGAAGAAGGCGATCAACCAGAGGTTTGTTTAAAAATTTATTTTTCACATTGAAACGTCGTAGTGTATTTGTTTGAATAGATTGTGGAAATTGATTTTACTGTTGGCCACCGGTCAATAGGTCGTGATGTTGTTACCAGCCAAGGATACACTCACGATTGGGTGAGCCGTGAAACTTTTTCACTGTTGAATCGTATATAAACCATGTTTTTCTCCAAAGGTTTGCTATCTTAAATCTACAGACGTACATGGAGATCTAAATGCTCTTATACAACGGTGTATATTTCACTTACATCCAGAATTTCAAAACAACAAAAGAGGTAGGCGACGAATAAAGTTTTCTGGTCTCTGAATTATAGAAGAAAATTGTTTATTACCAACAAGTAGTGTTATTTTATATCTTAAACTGGTCACTTTCTCATCATTTTCTGTTTAGAAATTCGTACATCTCCGTTTGCAATTCAAGAAACAGGCTATGGCGGCTTTTCAATGGTAAATAATTTTAGGCTGACATTCTCTGTTGTTATGTATCACGTGTCTTTTAAATTTTTCTAGCCAATTGATATTTATTTCAAAACAAAGAAAGATCCAAAAAAATTTCGAATCGAATATGATTTAGATTTACATGATTTAACTAATGGTGGATTAAAAAAACGGTCTTATTTGAGAACATATCGTTGCACATTTACAAATCCTGATCCTGATTTTAAACAAAAAATTTTGGCTGCAGGAGGAGTAAGTCTGAAAATTTTAATTTTGTGACATTTGACTAAAAATTAACATACCACTTAACAATCAGTAGGATATATTCCATCGATTTTCCATCTCTGGTGAAAATGTTAAGTACCCACTTCATTCTATAACACGCAAGATTTGGATGTTCTCGCATTACATGAAATATTTGCGTCTCGCGTGCGCATTCAGAACCCGAGATGAAGCGGTCGGGGTTTTGCCATCGGATGCGTTGTATTCGACGACATTCTTACATGTTAAACTAAAATAGAGAGTCTTTACTTTACATATTTCAATACCACTAATACTGTGAGTGTAGAGTACTGAAATATTTCACTCGAAGAGTTTCTACTCACATTATAAGTGGTATTGAAATATGTAAAGTAAAGACCCTCTATTTTAGTTTAGCAAGTGAGACTGTACAGTCGAATGCGGTGCATCCGATGGCAAAACTCCGACCGCTTGAAGCTATAATATCCTTGAAATCCAAGTTTCCTACTAAATATACCAGAGTGACCCTTCAAAATGTAATCGACCTGCCTCTTCAAGTAAGGCTTACGGGGAAAAATGATTTATGCCATCGTAATCAGCGCATTGAGCGAGCTCACAAACTGGTATAGATCGCATTCGAAAATCAGCGTGGCACTTGGAGACTTTCCCTCGTCAGAGAAGCAAACCTGGATGAGTTTCTCTTAATTATCATAAAGAAAAGATTCTACGTGAATGGCGTGCTTGATAAAAAAACAAAAAAAAACTGACGAACGACCACAACTTGATCTGTGCCAAGAATGATTCGTTCATTTGTGCGAAAGAAACAATGTTGCATAACTTTCAATGGAAGTTTTCAGTATTGATATTTTTCTCAAACTAAAATACTGAATCCTTGCTGTGTCTCAAGATAAGTTTTCTGATTAGATTTTGAACATACTGTATTCGAAATTCGTTGCTCGTATCAATTTATAATGATGTATTTGTTATTTCTTATCTTTTTAAAATTTTACTGTTTATACGACATAACGATTGAATTGTGTGAAACAGTGCTGTTTTTTTGTGAAACTCCCTCACTATCTTTGAAGAAGAGGGAGTAACAGTTTTATACCCCAAAACCGCTGGGACAAATACACTTATTACACCCCCCTCATATATCGACTATTTCAGTTTAAATAGCCTCTGCGGAGTTCACTGAGTGCATTCTTAACAGTCTCTGATCGATAGATCAAGGCATATATGAATCACG